CCCCTCACTGCTAGATTCCCTGCCTCCCCCGCTCTCCACTTTCTCCTACAAAGATCATCTACAGATCAGTAGATCTCCAAATATTTTCAGCTTCAGCACCTAGAAGCTCCTGTCAACATGGCCCACAGACAGGAAACATCTGAAGATTTTCTTTCTGCCTACTCCTGTTCTAGAGCCTTCAATATTCATTGAATTGGTCTTGTGCCCATGACCCTCACCTCATTCAAAAGCTTGTCCCTCAGTCCTAGGAGTGACAACACAAGCTGAAGCATACTTACTTGTAAGTCATCCCCACTGAGTTCTATAGAACTTACCCCTGAGTTAGTGTACAGCACCCTGTCCCAATGGCCATGTTGGCTGGGGATAATGGAAGTTGTGGGCCAACAGATCTGGAAAGCACCAGATCAAGCATTTGGTCTGATTGGCATATTCAGAATTTTGAGCACTTGTTGTGGGCAGTTCTCACAAAATGGCTGCCATGAGAGGCATAGCCAGTCACAAAACACCCATTTTCAAGGTGGTTTTAAAAACCTCTAACAGTTTTAAAAACTAGGAGGAGCACGGTGTCTGGCAGACACCAAAGAGGTATTTAAGAGCACCCAGGCACTGATGGTGCCATACTGGGGTCCCCACACAGGTGGGATCACAGCCTGATTTAATGAGGCAGTTGAATTCCCCTCAAGACTTCATCTAGCCCCTTTCCAGCATGGGCTATTCTTACATTTGGAGCACTGGTGCTCCTGCCTCTATATCAGTTTCATTAATTGGTTGGTCCAAAGATCTGTGGGTGGATTTTCCTGAAACAGTGACACAGCAGTTTCCTGTTCCCATCAACTTCTAACACAGGATATCTCTCTTGTGTTAGATACCAAATTTCTTGGAATAAAGCCAAGAACAAAGGACTTGGGACTGTATCTTGCTTTACACATTCTTTTTACTAGCTTTCCTTCAAAAACATCGCAAATTTTAGAACTGTTCCACCAAAAATAGAAGAAGAAAAGGCTAGTAGAAGCCCATGTGATTCCACAAAAGCAACGTTTTAAAGCTATCCAAGAAAGGCTAAAGAAAGTAAGGAGGGCTTGTATTTTTCCACTGAAACAGCAAGCCGGAAAAAGGAACTGTTAGGACACATTTTCCCCTCACAGCCAAGTCACATTTATTTCTAGCATGCTCCTCAACCATGCCCAACACCAGCCCCGCACAACAACAATTTATGATCCCACACCACTTACGCTTTCTGGGCTGCCTGGCCCCTCATTCTTTTCTGTTTCAGTCAACCAACAAAAGCAGAGGCCCCGTGGAGCTGTTGCATTGTGTTTAGTTTGCCAATTGCAAAGGGTGCAAATTGTGCAGGCATGCCTTGGAAATTAGGGATGTTTTAAACTGTGCGGGGGTACTGAAATTCATGTCTGTGCCCCAGCAGTCTTGTGGCTTCTGTGAGGTTCCCCAGAAAGTCACACCCCTTCCCATGCCCTTGCTTCCTGTTCCCTAGCTGCCAGCTCTTTCCTGGTTTTTGCTAGTTTTTCCCCCTTTAAACCAGTGCCTCCCTTAAGGCTTAGTTACAGGCAATAAGAGCTTTAAACTACTTGACATCTTTGTCTCTCCTCCTGCTTTTATCTCCAGCCTGGAATGCAGCCATGGAGAGCTTCTTCAAAACAGAATTCAGCCCTTGGGCTAAAGCCTTAACTTCGGGGTATTTTTTGTATTGTTATATTTAATGGTAATTTATTATGTACTATTGTATTTCAATGTATTTTATCATGTTGTAAGCCGCCCCGAGGTTTCGGCAAGGGGCGGCATAGAAATGTTATAATAATAATAATAATAATAATAATAATAATAATAATAATAATAATAAAGACTTTTGTTTATTGTGGGTGATTGGAGAGAGACTTAGCTCTCACATAATGCCAATTCATGGGTTGTTTAACCCATGATCTGAGGAGCAACACAAGACCAAGTACATTGTCTCCCCTCACCGCTTTGCATCCATTTTCATAAACAAACAGGAATGTCCCATTAAAACTCAGCAACCCAAAGCGCTAAGGTCTTCCTGAGGCAGGAAGCAGAGTGGTCACCTGCTCCCGTATGGGCTGTCATTACATTTGACCTGTAACATTATGTTCAGAACACTGTGTGTGTGTGAATATATATTATGAATGGCCAAACTGTGGCCAAAGTAAAAGTGAACAATAATACAATTCCTGCACACACATACTTATGGCAGAATTTACTTGTCTTGGCATGCTTTTTGTTGAAGGAAGGATGCAATAGACAGTAAACAGTATGACAGGGCTTTGAAGGAGAGCAGGCCATCTGAGCAATGGCTCCTCATGATGGCCAGATCTGAGGAATTCTTTTTTAAGAAGGTCATCAAACCTTAAGCTTGGGAGCAGGGCATGAATGATCAGGGATAACAACCCTTTTTCAGTATGTTTCCTTCAAATGTGTAGCTTATATTTGTTGACATTTTGGGTCTTAAAGGGATTTAAACATATAAATGTGTGCTAAGTTTCTGTGGTTATGGCAGGATACATACTGCAAGGATTGAACAAAGAAGCTTTTGGCCATATGAAATTTGGAATATGCGATGTTCAGTTTTCAGTTAGACCAGCTGACATTTAGAATTCAATCTGGTTAGACACAATCCAAGATTCCACATACCTCAGCTTAGCCATCAATTCAAAGGGAGACTGCAGCCAAGAAATGTGAAGAAGACTGAGTCTTGGAATGGCAGCAATGAAGGAACTAGGAAAGATTATCAAGTGTAAAGACATTTCACTGCAGAACAAGCCTGAGATCCTCGATGTTATTGTATTCCCAATCAGAATGTATGGGTGCAAAATCAGGACAATAAAGAAAGTGGACAGGAATTAAAACCAATGCATTTTGAAGTATGGTGCTGAAGGAGAGCTTTGCAAATACCCTGGACCAACAGAGAGATGAACAAGTGGGTCCTAGATCAAACCAAGCCAGAGCTTTCCCTAGAAGCAAAAATGACAAAACTGAGGCTTTCTTACATCATACACATTGGAGAAGACTCATTGGAGAAGACAATCGTGGTAGGGAAAGTCAAAGGCAGAAGATGAAAAGGAAGACCAAATATGAGATTGTTTGGCTCCATAAAGGAAGCCACAGCCCTGAACTTGGAAGAGCTGAATAACTGTCATGAACAGGACATTTTGGATAGCTTTCATTCATAGGGTCACCATGAGTCAGAGATGATTTGATGGCACATAACAACAAGTTTTCACAGGCACGGCTTTCTGTTAGAGGGGCATGCAGTACAATCCTATTTGTGTCTACAAACTTAATCCATGGTAAGCATGTAGGACTGAAGCCTTAATAGCAACCATTGATCTGGGAAAGTGCTTAACTTTGGCTGAATTGCAATCCTTTAAGTTATAGCTAAAAGTCAACCTTAGAATTACATGGTATGAGACACAGATTGGAAACTAGTTTGCCTATTTATCCCAGAAGGTACTGGACTCCTGTGGAGAATTCAAAGTTAAGAATCATTGGCTTTATTCCTATTCCGCATTTTAAAACATCAGATTTAAACATCTCTTGAGAGTTGAGGCATGCTGAAATGGTGCAGGGTGTGTTCTTGCTAAGGAAAATAACAGCACAATCAGGGACATTTTGCTCTTATGCCTTTCAAAGAGATAAAATCAATCCTGTGCATGCTTACTCTACCAGTAGTCCCACTGAATTCAATGGGTCCAGACCCCAAATAAGAATGGATAGGATTGTAGTTTAAATCTCTCAAGCAAACCACAGGATTTCTCTCTTTCCCTTAAAGACAACACTCCCTCTCATGTACCCATATGGGGGGCGGGGAGGGGGAGCTTAGCCTTACACAGCTGACAGACAGGCATTCACCAGGAGAACTTTCCTACTTTTTTGGTGAATGTTTCTCCCCTGCATTGTTTTAATAAAACAGACTTCCTCCTCCTATCCACGACTACTGTGCCAGGTAAAATCTAGATATTCGTAAAGCACGTGAAGCGTTTCGAACACTTAAAAGCGCTATACAAAAGTTGAGCATGATTTATTCTTTTTAACACCAGCCTTCTCAGCAGCAGCAGCAGCAGCAGCAGCAGCAGCAGCAGCAGCAGCAGCAGCAGCACTATCCATTTCCCTAGCAATACATTTGGCTGATTTGGGGCGTGAAAAGTACGAATATGCTGATGGGAATCCGAGAGCTCTGCTTGACCCTTAGGAAAAAGGTAGCGGTTGGAATCTGTGACAAGGAAGCGGCTTTTATTTCCCCCGCAGGGATTTCTCGGTTGCGCGACTGGCGAATCTGCCGAAAGCTTTCTCCGACTCGCGCTTTCCTGCCTGTGCCTCGCTCTCTCTCCTTCAGCCCCGCGTAGCTCCCCTTCCCAATCCCGTTGCCCGGATGGCCATGGCCAGTCCAAGCACTTTCCAAAGAACTACGGCAAGCGGCTAAGTCCAATTCCTTCTGGCTTCTCCTCAGACCGCTTTCCAGTCCTCCCACTCGGCCGTCCATCCTATCCCGATCCCAGACGCCCGCGCGCGAGGAGGAGGAGGAGGAGGAGGGAGACGGCCCGGTGCGAGTGGCCGGTGGGCGTAGCTCTGGCCGCTGCCTACGGAAGCGACCCCCCTTCTCGCCGCACCGCGAGCCTCGAGAGGCCGTCCCTACGCCCGGAGCAGCGGCCGCTGCGCGGATCAGAAGTCGCCGACCTCGCTGCGGTTGCTGCGGCTTCCTCCTCACAGCCGTTGCCAGGCGAAGCGAGAGGGCGGGTCCGAAGGAGAGGGACCGGCCCATGGACCAGCCGGGCCTGGAGCGGAGCCCGGAGGAGTCGCTGCCGCTGCTGCCGCTGCTGCCGCGCGGGGAGGCCTCGCGAAATGCGGGCGTAGCGCGGAGACGAAGCTGCCCTCGCTGCTGCGCCAGCCGGGCCCGGGGCCCTTTTTCGTCGCCCGCCGGGGGCCTCTGAGGGAGGAGCGACCGGACAGGCGGATGTCGTTGCCGCCGCCGCTGCCCAGAGCCTGAGGCGGCGCCTCTTTCCTCCTCCTTTATTCCCTCTCCAGCTCGGCCTCTCCCTGCTGCCTGGACGGACTCGTCTCGCCGCGCGCTCTTCTCAGCCGCCGCCGCCGCCGCCACCATGTCGGCCAAGGTGCGCCTGAAGAAGCTGGAGCAGCTGCTGCTGGACGGGCCGCGGCGCAACGAGAACGTCCTGAGCGTGGAGGCGCTGCTGGACCTGCTGGTCGGCCTCTACACCGAGTTCAGCCGCGACTCGCCGCTCCGGAGGGACAGGCTTGTCTCCGACTTCCTCGAGTGGGGTGAGAACCGGGAATTGCGCTGCGCGGGGGGAAGCAGCGAGGCTGTGCTGGAAAGGCGGCTTGCTGTAACCGTATAAAAGATGCCGTTCTGTGCACGCTTAACCTGGCGGTTCACCCCCACTGAACTCGGGAGAAGGACGGGGGGTTGACGACTTGCGTCTCTAAATCTGTTATCGGGAAAGCTCCCGGGTGTGTTTCGCGCATGGAAGGAACAAGGCGCGGGGGGGGGGGGGGGGGGGGGGGGGTTTGTTTTATGGGGGGCGGGGGGGGGGGGGGGGGGGGGAGGCGAGAGCGAGTTTGTTTTATGGGAGCCTGACATGGAGGGGAACGTGGCTCCAAGTAAATTGTGCGTGTGTAGATCTGACAGCTGAGGTTGAGCAAAGTGACACTAGTATTTGTACAGGACGAGGGGGGATGTAGCGTTGCCAGATTGTGATGGGAGGGTGGGAAAGGATGATGGGGTGGGTAGCGTGTCTAGATGAACAAGGATGGTGTGAATCTTTTGGTGACTGGAATGGGAGAGAGACCAAAACGTTGTTTAAGAACAATGGAGTAGAACTTACTTGTGGGTAGACAACAGGCCTGTAATGGTGGTTGGTTGGGTGGAACTGGTAACAGTGATTGAGTAGGGAGTGTAATTGCTTTTGTGCTGACTACAGGGATCTAATCGTAGGTATTGGTGGAGAGGGAGTATCACAGCCTATCGATTAGAACTCCATTATGAGAGTCCGGGAGTGATGACAACAATGAGGGAGCAGGAAAGGGTGTTTAGTGGTGTTTAGTCAGCAGGGGTCACATCAAATGTATAAAGCTTGTAGCATATAAAGGAAGAGAACAAGTATATGAACTAGGAAGAGAAGAGCTGGGGAAGCATTTTTTTTAATGGTGATAATTTATAGGTGTGGAAGTGGGATTAGCTTCATTTGAAGGCTAGAAGCACTTCTGAGGTCTGGGGTGGGAGATGGTAGGTCAGGGGGCACAATTATCCAGGAGATGGTGGGTAAAATATTTTAGCAAAAGTTGGTGGATTTGGATCATTTGAGGGTCTCAGTCAGTAAGCTATCATGTAATGACTTTGACAGCTTATGTGGCTTGTAGTGATAAGGTAGGGAAGTTTAGTTAGCATTGGTGGTGGGGTGGGTGGAGTAGAGAGCATTGACTCATAAAGGGAAGCGGCAAGGATGTAGAAGAAAGATAATGTTGCTTATGCAAGAACAGATTAGGAATGTTGTTGGAGTATGGAGGGCTGGAATTGGCTATATCTGGAACAATAGTTCTTGGCCTAGGAAGAAGTGAGGACTAACCCAGATCAGAGTACAAAGATGAACAAAGTCTAGTGAAGATAATATTTACAGAGTATGGATAAATTATGTATTGTGAAGATGGATACTTCAGGCTATTAAATAGCAGAGGTAACAGTATAGGGATAATCTGCATTGTATTTATATGTGGCATTTATAACCTGTCTTTCCCTGCAAGGAGCTCAAGGCGGCATAAATGAGCCTTTTCTTCTCCATTTTATCCCCACAACAACATTGTGAGTGAATTTTGAGTGCAAGTTGGTAACAGGCCCAAAGTCACACTGTGAGTTTTCTGGCCAAGTGAGACTTGAACCCAGATCTTCATAGCCTAACTCCATAACCAGTATAAAACACTATACCATTAGGCAAATACTTTTTAATATTAGGGCTATGGAAAGAAGATGTTTATTTCCTGAAGGTGACAGTCCAGAATGTTACTCTGGCCAATAATATTGTAGGTGTGAAACAGAGAGGAACCTAATTTTGTTATAGGGGGAGTCAGGTGGTCTGTGGAAGAGATTTAGGACAAGTTCAGTGCTAAAGTTTTACATTGTAGCCTGAGTGAAGGAGTTCTTCCTTCCACACATCCTAGAGAAGCATTTTGGGAAGAAGAATGGTTATAACAGGAGTTGCATTCCTGATTGGGAACATAACAACTTATAAACATTGCTGGTTCTGATCAAAGGCCTATGAAACGTTTTGCTTCCCATAATGGTCAACCAAATGCCTATAGAAAGAAAAAAAAAGACATAAGGGCGATAGCTTTCTGTAGCTGCTGTTCCCTAGCAGATGGAGATTCAGAGGCAGCATAGAGCCAACATTTCTAGTGGCTATTAATAGATTTAGCCTCCATGAATTTGTCTAATCCCCTTTTAAATCTATCTACATTGGGAGCCATGTCCACATCATATGGCAGGGAATTCCATAGTTTAAGTATGCATTATGTGGAGAAATGCTTTCCTTTGTCCTAAATTTTAATTATTATTTACTGCTTAGAGAGCTTTGACTTTTGGGTGGTATAGAAACAAAATTAATAATTATTTATTCAGCTTCATTGGACAACCTTGAGGTCTTATATTAGCAGAGAGGGAGTACTTTTTTGTTTGCTCAATACATCATTTTATGGACTTCTGTTTTCTAGACGTCCATTTTAATTGTTTCTTTTCCTAAACCAAATATTGTCAACATCACCTTTACTGACAAGGAAGTTTATGATCATTTTGCTTGCTCTTTTCTTCTCTTTTGCGCCTCTTTGAAAGGGGAAGTATTTGCTAGCATTTGGCCTGGGAGTTAAATTGTTACACCTAATGTGGTTCATGATTTAGAAATTAAGAGTAGTGCTTGGCCTGTTAAGAGTAGTGCTTGGCCTGGCTTTTACAGTGGTTATATTACTGGACAATGCAACATATTCAACAGCTTTTCTCTCTCATACCTAAGTCAATACTTGGGATGAACTGAGAGCCTGAGAGCACGGTGGGAATGGCAGCAGTTTCCAAGCATCTCCTCCTTAATACTGGTCTAAATATTAATGTAGGCAGAGAGAAGAACCTGTGGCTGCCTGAATATGCCATATTTTTCAGTAAAGCTGAAATCTGGTGGTATTTCTGACTTGCTTGGAATTTGTTTTAGATTTTTTGTATTTTGATAAAATTTTATAGTATTTTATAGTATTGTATTTATAAACTTCTAAAATCAAGTGGACCTAACTGTGTGCAGGCTGGTTGTCTACAATTTTAGGCCCCAACTTAAACTGACACCACAGTAGATGATTTGCTGAATTTCTGAACAAGCCTGGGAACATGGTAATGGACCTACTACAATGTCTGGAGGCTAAAGATTGGAGGGACTGTAACTCAGTGGTACAGCACATGACTTTCATATGGAAGACCCCAAGTTCAGTCCTGGCTTCTCCAGGTACAGTTGGAAAGACTGTTGAGAGCTGCTGCCAATCAGTGTCAATAATATTGGGTTAGATGGATGCAAAATTTGATGCCTTTTAATACAGCTTCCTGTGTTCCTAAGATGAGAGGCTATTCAAGTGAAATGACTTTTCATGCTTTCACATGGCAAATTTCTTCTTCAGTTTATTTGCCTGGATGCAAGGGTCAACCTGTTAACTCACTGAGATGAGTGGGGAAAATGAGATGAGTTGGAGAAAAGCAGTTTAATGGGCCCTTCATTCGGTGGGAATTTCAGAAGGGGATTGTTGTATGCCAACTCTAAAAGATGGGCTTCTTCTGAGATGCTGTGGCCTAAACCTACAAAAATAAAGCATTTTTTTAAAGATTAGTACATTTCCAGACTTTGATATTGTGTGTTTAGATGCTCTTTTATTATACTAGTTAGATTGTGTGAGAGTGGCTGGTGGTGCTGGCACTGGGGACTTAAGATAAATAAAAATGTGTGTAGAAAATATGGCACCAACATATCCTTGGCTTTGTGCCAGGCTAAGCTTAGCCTGAAATGCCAAGATAATCCCATGACTTTTCTTAGCTTGTTCTACCTGGAATGGGTGGAGGAGAGGAGAGGTGAAGCAGGCGCTCAGATTCCATTCTTTGAACAGTGTCTTTTCCTGTCAGATTTGTTGTTAGGGGTGTGTTCATGAGCAAATAGCCAAAGGAATATGGTTGTTCTAGACAATACTCATACTATTTTGTGAAAACATTTGGATTAAAAATATACAGACTATAGAAAAATTACATTTTGTAGTAATTTTATAATTTTAAGTACACCGATAATGAAGCGTATGCAGCGATTAAACAGGTTAACATAGTAAAAAGTACTCAGCACAATTAATTTAAAAAATGCCCCTGGGAAGGGACGCATCTTTGTAATGAGTGTAGAAATCTGTGTTGGTTAGCACACTGCTCTCAAATCCTGGATGTTACTGTTCTTGATTCTTACTCTTAGTAATACTTACTAGTGCACTGAAATCTTAGAGCAGTTGGCTCTCAATTTCTGTAAAGACCATTGCTCTTTGTTACACATTAACCAAGAGGATTCACTTCCTGGAGTCATATATTGATGTCAATAATATGATTGCCAATGGAATAATTAAACACTGTCTAACATCAGCTTTGGAAACCCACCGCATTGATTTGTTGTTTTGTGGCATATGTACAGTATAGCTCCATCAAAGCAGATTCTCTCATTATATTTATATAAGTCAGTTGATGTAATGTTGCATAATAATATAATTTGTATTGTATGTGCAATCTTATGCTGGATGTCAGAAAAGAAATGGTGTATATATCTGGTGACAGGTATATTTCTGGAGATGTATATTTTTGAATTCTGATCCCATTGACATAACGTACATATTATTATTAACTCAGTTTGGACATCAAGATTTCAGTTTAATAAGCTAAGATGCAGATGTCTTTCAGGCATCCTTCTACAAACACTTTGCTTTGGTCCTTGTGCAAGTGGTGAAACAAGTTAAGAACTGTAGTTGATCATATCTTCCAGTTACTTCTGAATTGGGAAACTGTGGTTAACAACTTCTAAACAAGATGAAATATGAAAGCCAACTGTTAAGCAGGCCTTCATAGTCTGGTTTGTTTGAAAGTTGTTAATTGTATTTACCAGTTCAAATGTAACGGGAAGCTATGATCAACTGTGGTTCCTGCTTTGTTTCCCCCTTTGCAGTAAGGAAAAACGAAGCAACTGCATGTAAGTGTCTGAAGCTAATGCACATCT